GCTCCATGTTAATATGTTATTACACACTATGTTGAGTAACAGTCGTAATGATTGGTCTTATTCAGATAAGGAAAATAACATGACAGCAATGAAACACTATTAGTGGTTTTAAATATACATTATACAAAACAAATGTTTTAAAAGTCACTTTGCAAACAAAAGCTGATGAATCATATTTGTTATACTTCGGGGGAGAAACCAACCTTTTGTAAATCCTCAGTTTTGGGTAAAAAGTCACAGTTCAGTTCAAACAGATTAAGTAATAAAGACACAGGCGTGTATAGATGATGTGTCTTCTGCACTATATCACAACATTATGGAAATATATATTCAGATTAACTTTAGAGCTGCTACACTTTGGAGACAGCGTTAGCGTATGCTAATGTCTTAGCATGGAGCATTGGAACCATTGAGCTGTATGGGATGTTTCACTGTCTATGTTTTCATCAACTGGCCAATCAGCCTTAACATAATATGATAATAATATTCATATCAGTTGTATTAATTAATATTGACTTTACACTAGCCTGCATATTTCCCCATATTACATGAATATTAAAGTTTCGTCTGTAGGGAAAACAAAAAGCTAAAATCAATAAAACTCCAAAGAAAGTGCACATCTGATGCCTCCATCAGCAGCTGCTGGTCCACAGACACAAGTAAGATGAGGAGTGATAGAGAGGAGGAAGATGAAGATGAGAGGTTGGTAGGGGAGCACATGGAAGCTGACATGATGAAGAGTGTGTGTTATTGTTGCTGAAAGAACTACAAGAGCCATGAAGCTTTGCATCGGGTTTCCTGAAGGACGGCACAGAGCAAGACAACGGGCTGAGGATTAACGTGTTCATTCACACCAAAACCAGCACATATTATCATTATTATTATCATTATCATGATAATAATAATAACATATAGGATTATTGTTATTTATTTATTCATTCATTATCATCATGATTATTGTTACAGATGTATAATTAATTAAATCAAATTATTAAAACACAAGTTTAACTGTAGTTTTTTACACAAAAATACATTTTACTGGACACTGGAAACCTTTGCTTTCCATCTGACCAATATCTCATTCATCCTGTGTGTGTGTGTGTGTGCACCCTCCATCTGGACACTGACACACACACACACACACACACACACACTCTCTCTGTCATACCCGTAACCCTCTTAAAGGGCTCTGCTGACTTCATCCTGATGATATTAAGAAAGTGCAGAGCGCTGAAAGCCACAGCTGTTTAAACTGTTCATAAATATTAATATGAAAAAACACTTCACCAAGCACGGCACTCTGTGTGTATGTGTGTGTGTGTGTGTGTGTGTGAACAGAGAGAGAGAGAGAGAGTATGTATGTGTGAGAGAGGTGGTAATGTATTTGGCAAAAGATAATGATGATAGTTTTATATTTACGTGTTTTATGTTACTTGCGCGCGCGTGTGTGTGTGTGTGTGTGTGTGTGTGTTTGTGTGTGTGGACATTGTGGGACAACTATACAGGCATTCTACTGAAAGTGAACAGTGAGTGATTGATTGCTGTGGATATTTAAGGAACTGATGCGGATCAGAAATGAGCTGCTATCTGAGACAGAAAGATCCGGATCAGGAAGATCCGGATCAAGAAGATCCGGATCAGGAAGATCCAGATCAGGAAGATCCAGATCAGGAAGATCCAGATACGGTGCAGATTTATAAAAACAAGCCGTAACTCAGCTGGTCTGTGATCCTCTCCAGCTGACACTGACTCTCATTTAGTGTGTGTGTGTGTCTGTGTGTCTGTGTGTGACGCACCAACTGATGCATTACAGGCAGAGTAACTGAAGAGTGTGAAGAGTGAGACGGACTTAAAGTGGACAGTTTGTCACATGACACATTAATCATTACTCAGTCAAGTTAACGTCAACCAGCTCTTCTCATAACTCTCCTTAACTTCCTGTGAAGACAGAAGTTAATTTTGAAAAGACTCGTCAGTGAGACACTGAACAGTCTGAAGCTCATGAGACTGTAAACGTTTGCTCAATCACACCTTCTGTAAAATAATGTAATCAACTCACTTTGAATTGTTCATTTGAACAACTGCATTTTGTGAAAGTACTGAACAGCTGATCGTAGCAAAGCAACTCAGCAATGAAACTGTTACCAGAACCAACGAGGACCAGAACCCAATCATTAAGAACAGATTGTTCCATGGACCAGTTTACATGTGTGATCATACAGTATGAGACCTTGTACATATGTGTGTGTGTGTGTGTGTATAAACTGCCGGCCATCAGCTATTATAACAGCGCTGTAAGTGGACCATCAAGCATTTATCACAGCAGGCAGCAGAGTGCATTATTCAACCATGTGTCACATCTGCAGAATGGGGGTCAAGTCCAGCTCTGTGCGTGTGTCTGTGTTACAGTAACATTACAAAATGATCTGTGAATAAGAACAAGTTGTGCATCTGTCAGCATGGAAGCACTCAGGACTCTCTGATGTGTGTGTGTGTGTGTGTGTGTGTGTGTGTGTGTGTGTATATTACTCTTGTTGTGGGGGCTGGTCCCCATAACATAAATCTTTTTAGGGTGAAAACGTGGTTCACGGTTTGGGTTAGACTGGTTCTGGTTTGTCTCCAGGGAATAAATGTAAGTCAATGTTATATCCCGGGAACACAACTGTGTGTGTGCGTGTGTAGGTGTGCATACACACACACACACACACACACACACACACACACACACACTCAGGCCGTGTGTCAGATAACTTGGCCTTGTAGAAGTTCCTGTGCAGTGGAGCAGCCTGAGTCGGTTCCCGGGGCTGACAGCCGTTACTAATGGGCTCGGTTCTCCTGCCGTAGACTGAGCCCCTGAAGGTGCAGTATATTGTCTGGAGAGAGGATGTGTCCTTTGGCTGTCTCGGTGCGGACGGACACCCTTAATGTCTTCAATTTACAGACTGGGTCGAGTGGACGGGGGGGCGGGGCGAAGGACGAATGTTGGTCATAAAATCACTAAAGCAATCATACGACGCCTCTCTTTTGTGTATGACGACAATCCTATCAACCTCATTTCTGTCATCATTTGCATCTTAATAACTGTATTTTGCGGTTGCATTAATATGAACTTCATGTTACTCGTTGACGATAAAGTAAACATCTGTTTTATGTTTCGAAACTAAAAGCTTCATGAATTAAAACCCTGTTAGTTGAGGTTATAGTGATGTTTTAGACCATGAACACTAAACTTTGGCTTGGTGGGAATTGAAACCCAATTAATAGAAACTGATGAGCCCCCCCACACTAAATACAGACATATCGGCAGAGTGAATGAAAATAAAAACAGAATTATGCAGCTCCTTGATTTTTCTGCAGGATTTAAAGTAGAAGAGTAGAGGTTCAGAGGTGTGTGCTGCTTTAAATGCAGCTTTATTAGAGGTTAGTGACTCCAACACGACGCCTTCCACAGGACGGATTATCTCTGAGCTCAGAACAGTGTGGGTGGAGATATTTGAGAAGCATCACATTTCATTGGCTGAAATATTACCACAAATCTTCGTCTTAATCTCCCACCTCTGTTATATATTTGTTGAAGCCAAAAACAATTTCTGACCTACAAAGATGCACTAATAATTAAACCTTCTATTATTGGGGGCGGTGGTCTCGGTTCTCGTTTCATGGTGAGATGTAATCAATTATGCCAACGTGCCCCCACTGTGGAGATAAGCCGAATCGTCTTCTATCATTCCTGTCTCTGACTGTCTCTCCTTACATTTGCAAAAAGGTGTAATATCTTTGAAAATAACAGAATTACTGATAATGCATGAAAAATAAATGAGTGGGGAATCAACGCAAACATAATGCAAACATTGCTCCCCATACAGATGCAATAAGAGGTCAATGTTGATGTAATGATCACGAGTAATGAAGAGTAATGACGTACAGATGACTTGAAGTAAACCATCAAATACACCAGGAAAAGTAAGCTTTTACCAAAAGCATCTTACATCAGTAAAAAAAACTCAAACATAACTCAGGCCATTTTAAAAGTCCCGTTTACAGCTGAACATTTTGCTCAAATATTCCTGCACTCATTTAATAAGATGAATTTTCAGCCATCAAAGAAAACAAATGAGGACTTTTATAACGGCTTGACTTGGATGGCTCAAAGGAAAAACCTACATTCATTCGTGTGACACCAATCTGGTTTTGAAATGACCCGAAATCCGTTTGTCAGAGCTCAAACCACCAGGAGGAACCGACACGTGTGCAACGGAGAACACTAGTTGAGCTTTTCCAAGAAAAAGGATGTGTAGCTCCCAAAACATCTGAGTGTTGGTCAGGACAGCACATAGCAACCATTAGCTGTATACGCATGTTAGCATGTGTGTATGTGCACGTGTTAGCATCTGTGCATGTGTTAGCATATATGCACGTGTTAGCATATAGGCACGTGTTAGCATATGTGCACGTGTCAGCATATATGCACGTGTTAGCACGTGTCTATGTGCATGTGTTAGCATATGTGCATGTGTTAGCATGTGTGTATGTGCAAGTGTTAGCATCTGTACATGTGTTAGCATATAGGCACGTGTTAGCATATAGGCACGTGTTAGCATATAGGCACGTGTTAGCACGTGTCTATGTGCACGTGTCAGCATATGTGCAAGAATTAGAACATGTGTATTTCCACGTGTTGGCCCAAGCTAAGAATGTGTTTTATTCCACAATTAGATATTTTTGAAAGACATTAACAATTGTCTTTGTGAGTGACTAAATTGTAACATTGAGCAAAAGGCCTGGTCCAATGACCAGGACTTTTGTGTACGCTTCTGAATGATTTTTATTTACTATAAAAGAATTGAAGTGATTAAATCCTCCTAATACTGGATCTACCACATCCATTTTCCAGGTGCAGCCTTCGTCACAATATGTAGAACTACTGGAAACCAGAAAAGGTTAGAGTAACAGTGAGAGATGGAGTGATGTGTTGATGTCTAGAAGTAAACATACAATACCCCACGCTCAGAGTTCTCCATGTGTGAATCTCTCTATCGGAGAAAGGGCAAGGCGGGTACAGGGCAGGGCAGGAAGGGGAGGAGCCAAAGACAGGAAACAGAAAGATAGAAAGAGACATTATAGGGCATGAGAGGCTGAGAAACCTGAAACATCCGTCATAATTTTCCTATTTTCAAGGTGATAGTGAGCAAAGTGAAGCACGATGCAGACCTTAGTTTAAAAGACTGCAGCTCTCCTGTCAAGCATCCACGTTGTTAAGAAACTTCAACATGTTTTCTTTAATAAACTTCAACATGTTGTTTTCTTTACTGCGTTTCAGTGTCATGGCTGTATGATGTGAACAGTGAACTTAATGATGAAACATTTGTATTCCCATTATTTTTGTTTTCACAATCCCTTTCTGCTAATCCTTTAACATGGATGTTGAACTGAAGCACGTAGCAGCACACACAGTGATGTTTGGAGAACAGTGAAGAAGAACGAGCTGCGATTAGCTAAAGAGGGAAAACAGATTGAATTAGATTTGTATCTGTTAAGGCAGCCATGAAGAGATCAGACCTGCACCGTATGGGATGAGTCTCTTCTATAAATCACCAGTGTTCCAGAGCGTGAGACTTCAGAAGGAGTGCTGTTAGCTGATGTATCACGATAGAGTGACACTTCGAAGTGACACAGATAAAAAAACAAAGTATCACGAGTGACATGAAGAATTCATCAAGGAGAGCCCTGTGAAAAGTTATCATTCTCTCTTTGTGCCAATGTTGTTGGGTTACTCTTTGTGCCAATGTTGTTGGGTTACTCTTTGTGCTAATGTTGTTGGGTTACTCTTT